TTCATCTTCATCAGGGTCTATAAATTAGGTATACTGCATGTTGTGTTCCGTTCTAACCTCAGATATGCTCTCATAAAGGCGTTGAAAACATTACGCGTCACCGTGCGTTATCCAAAATAAACAGCAAGATTAGTTCTATCTCCTCTTCGCCCTCACTCACGTGTACAGTCTTACTTACTCATACAATTTACGCCAATATACTTAACTGTGTTGTTTCTATTATCGTTAGAATTTCTTCCATGTGTATTCCGTTTTAGAAGAAGATGAAGGGGATGGGAAGGAGGGGGTGCTCACGTGAACGAATGTTGAATTGATATAATACAAGGTGTAAATAGTTGCACAAGCATTAATAACAGAAATGAGCTATTTTATATCCGCAATTCAAAAACCTCTTTAAAATATGAAATTAAGAATATGAAATGCTGTAGATATTGTTTGTTTTGATGTTCCAAATGTTTGCGATGTTACGAAAGTCTTCAAGGAAAAAATATGTATCTGTTACAAGTCTTCTTATTATTTTTTTCAATCACAATTAAAGCGAAAATTTAGTACTTAACAAAAGTAACAACATTACACAGAGTAATTTGCCAACGTTATACTGTACGCTACACGCAGAAAATGCATTTCCTCCAAAGGTCCGACAAGAAAAAACAATGCCAAATCACAGACAAATGTTTTCATGTTCACAAACTGTCTGACCGTTCTACTTCAACATTCAGAGCTGTAAATTCCTTTTACCAAAAAAAAAAACCAATTTCGTCCGTGCAGCGCTAAAAGAGCCTTCGATTTTACGAATGTAGCTTGTTACAATTTACATCTTATATTTGGATTACTACTGACGGAAATGACTGATCCGAGAGAGCACCTGTCGACACTGACTAAGCACTGCAATGTTCTAACAGCGGTAGACAGCTATGCTATATGCGACAGAAAACTGATCTGTGTATTTTTGACGAGATTTGTCGAATATTGTGAAGAATTAATGGAATTTCCAAGCAGTGAAATTTGCATCGGAATTTGTTGTAGAAATGAGATTTTGGGATTTTTTTTGTTGTATTTATGTTTATATTTGCGATCGCAAGTTGTTCACGTGTCATGTCGATGGCAAACATATCTGACAAGTAGTTTCAAAATGCATTACTTAATGATAACAAAGCACAAGTTTTCGGTAAAGAATTTCATTGTTTTGATGATATCGTTCTGTCATTTGTCGATAAGATGCTTCAGATATTTGATGTTTATTGTGTGTGAGATAAACAAATTCATTGACTTCCTCTCGCAAAAATATAACTTGGCAAACTTGATGGGGGAAAAACAACCATAGTGGAGTTAACAAAAATGTTGAAAAGTTGTAGTGGAGCCAGAATTCACCTTTTTTAAACAACGTTTTGCTGCCACACTCACGTTTCTCCAGTTAAATTCAAGCTAGCATGGAGATCTTCGTTGATTTAATTATAAATTCTACCAACCAAGGAAATTTACTGGAGTTGATGGAATATATGCATAAGTAAATCTGAAATCTTACCGCAAACGAATGTGACTAATTTCTTTTCTCTGTATAATGGAGGCCGAAATGTCTAATAGAAGATAAGCTTTGGCTCAGACTAATATTTATTTTACATTGTATGTTTAAGAATTCTATGTGTTTTTATGTCCTCCTGGATTCTGATAATATATCATTAGATTTATGGTTCTCCGTGTCCGATATTTGTGAGAACATTAAACAATCATTCCTTCGCTTATACCATTATGTCTATAGATTTTGTGAGAATCTTTTTTATCTATGTCAAGTTTTATGCACATTATAATATAAATGTTTGCGGTCTTCAAAAGTCTAATGTAATAATTTGTGACTGTGTTTCCATTGTTTTCCCCAAGCAACTGGCGTTTCAAGTTTTCTATTTCCCAGAGCAACAACGCAAACGGTCGCACGTCATTCTTATCAAAGAAGTTTTTCCATTTAAGTACAATGTATCTGCGACCCCTACCGCCTACTAAACCCAACACACCTCTATATGTTGATAGCAATAAGCACATTGGTTCACAGAAACTGCTCATCTATTTAACGATAACGATAAAACTCTATCATAATGGTGTTATCTAACCAAGAAGTTCCAATCGTAATGCTCTACTAGGTGTCCCAATACGATTTCAGTAATGGCAAATAATAGGATCTTTATTTTCGGTGTTCTAAGAAAAATGCTTTTACTCTTTCGGAATATCCTTCTTGGGAAGTACGAATGTCCAATTTCCTAAATGGACTTGAATTTGAAATGTCTGATATACTTCTGATGGAAAAACACCATCAACATCAAATCAAAATAATAGTAAACAACATATGTGGATTGCACTTCATTTAAAAGATTTGTATTTCAATTTCACTTACATTAAATAAGTTATAGAGATTTACTTGTTCTATATATGGATGTGGCCCATATCACTCTTCCTTAATAGTTTATGGCGAGATTTCAATAACAGCTCAAATATTCTCTATGATCTACGTCTTAAATAATACATTTACACAACAGTGGGGATTGGGAGATTTGAACTTCCTATTCTGTTCTTAACTCAGCAGAATCATTTTGATAAATTTTCTAAAAACTAGCTATTCATTATTGAATAACGATATGCATCATTGTTTTGCTGATGGATCTCCAAAGGGACCCACTTTTGAAAAAGTTTGGGAATGGCTCGTGTGATTTCCTTGGACTACAGGCGTTGTGGTTTAGGTTTCCATCATCAATTAAGATAGAATTTTATTCGAGACCTTACCACTCACGCGTGCATCTCATCTCACATAAGAGTTGCATAACTGAGTAGGGTTTCCGTTCAGGCTTCCTTGTTTAAGCCTTACAGTGATACAAGTGTAACACCAGATTAGCTTGGCTTGCGTTATTTCGTTCAGTCTTACATCTGTAGTTCTTGCATGGTGTAAACACCCTTGTCAGTTAACACGTGAGGCAGCCATAAGATTAACCATTCACAAGTCTTCACAGTCCCCGATATCCAGTCGTTCACATTGGCGACCTGCTTGCTGTCTTAAAAATTACATCAAAATTCAGAATCAATTAATAGGGATTTGTTTTCCTGTCCAGATCAATTATTGTAATATCCATATAAAATACATTTGCAGTGCATCCAATGACCGTTACTTGTCATAGTTTTAAAGGGAATGCATAAAAATGCATTTCTTTTACGTTCATTGTATTATCAAATAACTGGGAAAAACAAAGAAAAACAGCTAAAATTCAGTTTGAAATGTCAGTGGACATTATTAATTCAGTTTTGTAACGGTATGCTGAGTCGATCGATCTAGCTCTTTTTCCGGAAGATTAATTACGTCATAGTCTTGCATAGAAACAATCCCAAATAATCTCAATGAAAGAGTGGAATCTTACATAGGTAATTAGATAAGAACAGTAAACAAATGACAACATCATTAACCTGTTACGTATTTTATTCTTTTATCCTATCAAACCTGTTAATAGATATCTGGAAAATACACGGGGGAAACTCGTTCAGGTACAAAAATATATATGCAACGTCCGATTTAGATGGTATGTTTATATATATATATATATATCTGTTTAAAACATGGAATATCTGACAGATTAGCGTTTAAACATCAGATCTATGTAGTAAATAAGACAATTTTGTAGTTGTGCTTGAAATGGCGGATGTAAATATTTGCCAGTTTTGCATCATTTCCGCTGACACCTGCTTCAGTGTATAAATATAGAATTGTTTTAAACTAACTGAGAAAACAATATCAGGTTCACCCTCAAACAAGTGGATTTGAAACTTTGGAACTCTTCATGTCAACATCGAAATTTATTGACCCCGTCCATAATATTTACCTATTAGAATTCGGAATTTAGACAGAGTTTCTACTCCAACCGCTTTTCTTTATCTTTTCCTACACCGTGTTTGATGCTCGTTATTTGGCATGCTGGTTTCGTTGCTGTATAACTTGTTCCCATTTGAGACCATCACATTACTTGCCTGGATTGACCAAGGTTTACCTTGCGGGTTTCGGCGATGAAGCAGAAGACACGTACTGATCCAGAACGCCTGGTCTCATTCTCCTTACATTTTTCATTAGTATCCTTGTAAATATTTCTTTAGTTCATAATATACTTCAGTTGTACCGAATTTGAGGTTTGATTATGACTGTGTTCTCATGCCAGTATTTTCTTGTCGTTTTTACAAAGGTAGCCAAACCAACGTTAATATCTCAAGATTTTGATTGGATAAAAGTGAAATCCTAATATTAAAAGAATGAATAGTAGATATAGGAATATTATACAGAACATACCACCAGAAAGACACTTGAAATATCTAATATATAAATCCTTGTGCTTAAAGAGCACAATCTCTATGTATTTAATGATTTATATAGCGCCCAGGTGCATCGTACATATATTTCAAATCAGTGTTCAGCAATTAACGCTAGCAGATTTGGAGTTTTGGCAGCCACTGTCTTCTTATCGAACACATGGAAGTGTCAAAAACACGCATGTGGCCTAAATACTTCAATACGTATAATATACACTATTATTCACTGCGATCGCACATATATGAGCACATTTATAACTAAATACTAACATCGTATTCCATTAATTCTAGATGATATGATGGAAAATAAAACTAATATAATTACATTGACTAGATGGATTTCCCATGTTAATTTTTGATCAAATAATTAATTCCTCATTTGTGGTTGATTTTGTAAAGAACATGTTTGAAATTGTGTACTTTTATTGTGTCCTACATAAAATGAATGCATGGAGAACAGCAGTTCATGATATTTTCAGAAACTATTAACGTATCACTCATATCTTGTATGAAAATATATGACATGTGAACAATATTTTACTTCTGTACATTACTGTATTAGCATCAGTTGTGACAACGCAAATCTATTGTATAGTATTTAGCACTTCAGAATGTACCTATGTGCTGCCTGATACAAGCTGACCATCAGTTTTATCTTTTTACAGACGGTGTCCATCTCTGTTTCCGTGCTCACCCTCAGTGCTATTTCTGTGGAGAGATGGTACGCCATCTGTTACCCGCTTGTGTTTAAAAGCACGAAAAAGCGCGCCAAACTGATTATCAGCGCTATATGGCTATTTTCCGTAGCAGTTGCTGTACCGGATCTAGTTGTTGCCAAATTGCACCCGTACTTCAGTCCAGAATTCACCATTCTCTTGACGTCATGTAAGCCGGGATGGTCTAACAGAAATCAAACTATATACCAACTGGTCCTGTTGATTGTTCTTTACGTTGTACCCATGGTCCTTATGGGCTTTACATACTCCCATATAGCTGTAGTGCTATGGAAAGGCAACATTCCCGGCGCCGTGGAGACAGGTAAGTGAATTCAAATATACATAATCTTTTCCTTGGCATCATACCAAATTAATTAAGGCATATAGTTTTAAACAGTAATACGATAAAGTACAACGAGTTATTTACAACCTAACAAAAACAAGCAAAGAAAAACACTTATTTCTTCATCTTAACAAATACCATTAGCCAATGTTGTAAACAAATTCACATTTGCGGACGAATTTATCATTGTGCACAAAATACACAATATTAATGCACGGTTCAGCGATAAAAAACCTCATTTGAAGTCGTATAAACATCTACGTTGTTACTTTTATAACGAGCATATATCTTAATATTTTTATAATGACGTTTACGACGGTAATGTTGCACGTGATCATGGCATAGCTCAACGGTTACTTGCCCAAAATATTCTAAACTCATCCATCACATTAATAGATAACAGCCGACGAGACCCTATCATTCTCCGCCCCCTCTCGACCTCCCCCAACCCCCTCCCCCACCCCCCTAAAAAGAAAAAAAAACAAGCAAAAAAACAAACAAACAAAGAAACTTCCTCCTATCAAAAGCCCAGCTTTACGTCTCCCTTGGCAGTAACTCACTTAATCGTTTAAGTGTATGAGACTACAGGTCCTTTCCCGAAGTCGTTATTTCAAACCAAATACTAGTATTTTGCGTTCCTTGCTGATCGCTTCACATAAAACGGACAAACAAAGAACTGTTTCGACAGGATTCATCTGTTTGATTTTACCAGATGAAATGTCATGTCAGTGATTTCAGGATATGATATTTTAGTGTAAGTGTACTATAAAAGCGCCCGCCTGTTGCCTCATCAGCGCTGGTCACAGTTTCCATATGATCTCTGCGTTTGCGAGGATGTAAAGCCACATCACCAAGTGACATCGCCTTTAGCAAACGACTTTGTTTAAAATGTGAAATACAGTTTGTTAACATAACTTCGTGTTATACCTGTCTTTTTAAACAGTTTAACCGAGATTTCATGAAAACAACCGAATTATGATATACCCTAAAAGCCTTACCACATTTAAGGCCTTGACTCAGAGGTTTAAACAGTTCTCACTGATATTATCGACAACAAATTAATACCAACAGAGCTATTATAAAAGGTACATTTTATATTCATAAAAAGGAAAATGTTGCATCGAAGGCACAAAGCAAATCACAAGAGGTTGTCCGGCTTATTTACTTTATTGGATACAGAACAGCAAAGTGGGACCGACCAAATAATATTATGGATATGTAGAACACGCTAATTTGCCAAATTGATGCAGAGATAGGCAAGGCACATGGAGAGAAAAAGGGCTCATAAGTTAAATATATAAAAGAACGTGAAAACATTGGTTGCAGCAAAACTGGTGAGATAAATACATTTGTTTTAAAACAGTTTTAATTGCTTAGTAACGACTGACCATATTCATTGTTTCAGCTGGTATATGATTACAACTATTTTAACTGCAGGATACATTTTGGCGTGAGTGAAAATTATTATAAGGTAAAAAAAGGTTACGCCCCTTGCCGTAGTGGACACTGTGCTTCTACGTTTATCTAATTGTTAGTGTCTGCAATGGTGTCGGTAAACAGATCTGAAACTATAAATACGAAATACGTTGCAGCAAAACCTTCTTGTACAAAGGCTTATTAAAGATCACACTATGCCTGGAGATATCATTTAGGATCGGCTTCTGGCTTTTGTAAAAAGTGTTCGCCCAGGTGAGAAAAGCTATGACTGCTGTCTCGCGACGGAGAAAAACATTTAACACAGACTGTTCATTGTCTGACGTGCAGCTTTCGATTTGTGACCAAAAGGACATGTAAAACTTTCCCCCTGCGTTTAATTTTGTTTAGCTTTTATTTCCAAGGAAAACACTTTAAAGGAATGCCAGGGATGAGACTCTGGGTTCGGCCGTTACATTACGTCATGAAATCTGTCGTATGATTTACTCTGCTATCTTCCATCATTTATTTGTCAATTACATTTGCACATTAGGTTTAAAAGGAGAGACATTTTCTTTACATCGTGCATGCACACATTGTTATAGATTTAATGTTCCGATCTAATAGAAATGGTTATTACTCCTAAGTATAAGGAAAGTATTTGACCATGCATGTGTGCAAAACATTCAAATTACCAGTTGAAAACCATCGAGTATATTCACCTTTTACGTTACAAAAACAGCAACTATACAATAAAAGAAAAGTTACATGTTGGTATACTATGGCTGCATGAAAATAACGTAACATATGAAAGTTATGATACTTCAGTATGATGGCACTTTACCTGTTCAAGTATCCATCAGTTTTGCTTTCAAATGAATTTCAGACGATTTTAAACGCGGAAAGCTGCAAATGAGCCTCTCTACCAATCAAAAATATAAATTGGATGGTTTCCGGCCATACGACTTCCTAACCGACCTCATCACTCTCAGTTTGCCAAGGTTATTGTATTGTCTGACGGGGTTACCGAAGATGTCACGTTGTAAGAAAAAAAGTTTCCCCTGAGAGAACATGATTGATACCTGCTTCAACCACGAAGTATATTGAAGTATTTGTCTTTTATTGGGTGATAACATCAAGTTAAACTTTTTGTCGTTTTAAAGTGAATTGTAAATGATAACAAACTTTATATATATACGTGTGCCATAGATATGTTATGTATGTTATACACATCATCAACAATTCTAGTTTTGCCTTTGAGTAGTAGATAATAAAGGAGATTAATTGAATTATGGTATCTGTTGCTATTTTTAGATACGATAAATATTTGGTAACTACTCAGGTACGAATGAGAAATCAATAGCTAATACCTGATCATTTCTACATTTAGCACATACTTTAGAACCCCTCTCTTTTTTACTCATTTGATTTTCATATACAAATAAGAAATCTGCTCTGTATGTATATACCAAAATATAAAAAAAAAATCCGCTACAAAATACCAACCATATTTGTCAATCATTACAGGATGCTTCTAATGAACACCAAAATAAAATCACAAATCGAAAAAAATAGTGTACTATATAGTCTAATATAAGTCCTTGACCAAACTTATGTTACGCTGGTGGCAGATCGTTATTTTTCGGTAATATTCAGTGTCAAACTGGTAGTTCAATGAATACTTCAGGTCACTGTTTTCAAAAGGGAAGAACATTTTTTTTCAAATTTTGAAGATCCCTGTCTGATCTAGAGCTTGAGTTGAAAGCAAATCAATATCAATTTTAGGAAACTTTTGGTGTTCCAAATGAAGTTATTTGTAAGACAACATAATATAGGCTACCAAAAGCTCTTGATCAAATTGATGAAGAATACCAAATAATCTGCTTTCTATTTCGCACTTATTTAAAGCTGTAAAATGTTAAGTGAATGACTATATGTATTGTTTTGAATGTTTAACCTCTACGGAAATGTTTCATTTTCTAACTAGCTTACTTTTCTACCAGGAAATTGTCGTCATTATCATTTTTTTTTATTTTACTAAATTGTCATATATTTCCCTTTGGTATCCTTGTATTGAGGTAAATATGACCCATGGTATAAGTTTTATTTTTAATACGTACTATTTCCTATAAGCATGAACATTGTACCGCTCTCAGAAAACATCTGTAACTAGCCATTAATGAAATACTGGCACAGACACTGATCCTGTTAAATGAAAATGATAACAATAATAAAAGGCACGATTTTTTTCTATATCTATCTGCACTCTTGTTTTCGCAATTCTCTTCTGTATAAAATAAGCCATTATATAGACTAATGGAATGTCTGGAACATCTTCCGAACTCTCGGATAGTCACGAACTCTCTTAGTCATAAAAAACCATGTCTGCAAATATACAACATAGATATGCCTGTCCTGATGAAGTGTTCTCCTATAAAAGTCTACTTGTTGTCGGTCTCCCTATCCTAAGCATAGAACATATAATCAGACTATTTGGGAGCAGTGGTGACAGTCGACAAAATGGCGTCAGCAATACACATTCTTCCAAATACATGTAATGGGCGTGTACTGATCCGTTTGATTATAGGAAAATCCTATCTTCAAATAATTACCTCTTTATTCTTGTTTCGATATTTTATTCCAGATGATATTTTTCCATTACAAGAAATCAGATTCGGATAATTTCCTTCGTGTTTAAAAAACTGCAACAATTTTCTAATCTCAACAAAAGCTGAGGATGACCTCCAAAATACAGCCGAATATAACCCAATTAAGATCCTACGAATGAATTAATATTACTACACAACAGGGTACCACAGTATCAAGAACAACAAGGAAATAACCACATGTCAACATAATTAGTATCCAACTCAAATACAATAAAACTTAAACAAAATATTAACAAGGTTATATAAGGAGACTTCTTTTTTTAAATATAAGGAAAAATAAGACCAGGTGTTCCGGAAGAGCAATGTTCGAAATTTTAGGATATTTAGGTAAAGTCTCCAAATGAGATCCATAAACGTATAACCCTTTTCTAAATTTGACAGCCAGTGCAACCGATCACGCCCCCAAGCATGAATTAAGGCTACAATGAACCGACTCCAGCTTCAAATGTATTTGTAGGTTTGTAGAATTGTACGTCACAGTTGTTATACAATGTCAATCCCATCAAGTAATAGAGAATTTTCTCCGAAAGAGGAACCTACATGGGAATCGGAAGGGGGTGCAATTTTACATCATTTTCCGGTAGTCGATAGATGTCACAAAAGACAATACAAGTATATGGTTTATCTAAATATATCTGGGAAACGGTGCTGTTTATACAACCAAATTTTCAAATCGTTCAATGAAATCTTGTTACATCATGACGAAAGATTGACTGACGCCAAAACCACTTAAAATCCTATGTCTGTTAGATGTTTTGATTTTATCTTTGACAGAGAACATACAATGTAGATATCTATCACGTTTAGTGGTCTTATTTCTCTTAATGATTTATTGTTTCAATTATGAAGCAATGAAATTAATCTGAAAAGAGTGGGACATTGGAACATGATTTGATT